GGGGGGGGCTCGGAGATGCGCTCGGGCTGCTGGGGCGGCGGGGTGTGGGCGGGAGTGCGCCGACCCCAGCCGACAGGCTCCCTGATGCTGATAGTAATTTGTGCAAAGCCGCCACGCCGCCGGCGGACCACACAAGCGCGCGAGGGCGTGGCGGGGCGTGGCGGGGCCCTAGTTTTCTTGTTCCAACTCAGCCTAATTAATGCTGTGCCAAACTCCGCCGGTGGCGGCGGGCGCATAGGCGGCAGGCACCCCCGCAAGGATGGGAGGAAGCGTAGTCGCGGCCACGACGAGTGAGGGCTGGTGGATCGTGGCCGCTGCAAGACCACCGAACACACAAATTCAACTTACAGTTCACAGGTGCTTTCATTTTGCGTGTAGCCATAACATTTCGTCTTAAGTCCTCAACACGTACGCAATTGGAAGCTCGTCATTATGATAAGACTTCCAATATCAACCTCTCGCTCCACTGCCGTCCCTCTGGCTGACGCCACACACCTGTGTGCTTTGCTGCTACACTTACGTCCCTAACGCTCGCCATCAGCCTGATACCAAACTCCCATCCCAACCTCCCATCACCCCTCCCCTTCCTCCATTACTCCCCAACAATTTTGCCCTTCTCCCCACCTAGGACGACCACGACGCAGGCGCAGGCCGCCACCGTGTTGGAAGCAAGGTGGAAGTCCCGCAACGCGTAGTGGACCTATACCACCACACTTTAGGGACACCATCACTAAGACCCTCCCCATCCTCGCCTGCCCCCCGTCCTCGAGCCATAGCGATGAGCCCAGGACGACCTGCCCTGCTCCTCGGCACCTGCTGCGAGGCCGTCCTCCTGTTGAAGTACCTTGGGGTGCGGCGGGCCGGGGCCGACGGCGGCCGGGGGCGGCTGGGGCCGTGTTAATTTCCCCCTCTCCTTCGCCGTCACACAACTTCTCTTAACTTCTCGCCCACCCCACCTCTCGTCAACTGCAGGGCCGCTCATCCAATATAAACTGCGAGGATGGCCCTCGAAAGAAACACACATCCCTCTGTCTTTCCATCCCACCCTCTCCTTCTATCTGGCCCCTCCCTTTCCACTCCCCTTTTCTACCACCTCTCCCTCCATTTCCCTTTATCTTTCTCCCTCTACCTAAGTCCAACTCCCTATCTCTTCCTCTCACTCGAAGATAGTGCTCTGAAAGGTCTGAATGGCAGTTGACTGCAAAAAAGGGGTCTGCGAGGTTGCCTGTTGTCTGTCCCTCTTCATTTCCCCTTCAGTATTCAAAACTTATCGTAAATTTCGCCTGAAGACAATTGAACTTCTTTGCATTGTCAGTAACTGTGAAATCCCCAGTAAGTCATGCCGAATAATTTCTCTACGCATTCTTAACATTTTTTTCTTCTGTCCGTAAAATAATTTTCGGTCTTAATATTTGCTCGAAACGACAAGTAGACAGAAAAATGCCACATTTTCCCCCAACTTGTGTCCGCACACCTAACAGTAATGTCCACCGTAACTTTCTTTGAAGATTCGCGTTAACCTCTTTTAAAAGTATAACCCGGACAAAAATCTGTTTCCACCACCGTGTCTTCTACATTCTCTTGGAGATCCTTTCCCTCTCTCCTAAGATACGGAATGTGAGCCACACGGAGTGAGACAGTGAGACAGAAAAAAAAAGAGAACGGTGGCCCAGCTGCCTCACAGTTAGTAATTGCTCGTGTTTTATTTCTGTTGCAGGCTGGTGAGTTTGCGTCAGCATCATTGACCGTCCAATTGAGGAGAGTTCTGCTAAATGACAGCCGTATCGCAAAGTGGAGCAGCACTGTCTCAGATGATCTATTTCTAGATCTATCAACGTAAGTTTCGCCCGCCTGCCTCTGCTGCACGAACGGAACGACTGCACGCTTACTGCTACGCTAGCTCGCAGAGGGCACATCAAACATCTTATGTTTGAAGTGTGCGCTTTGCTCGGGCTCAGTCCTTATTTAAGGTTGGTGTTGAGAGTCGGAAAACGCAATTTCGAGACTCATCATCTTTACTCTTTAGCCGTGGAGCAAGAGAGGGCGCAGAGTAGAAGGGGGAACCACTGGCGGAGGAGAACACTGGGGCGAAGGTTTGCGTGGGGCGGGAAGCCAAGGCCAGCAAAGGCTGCTCGAGGAGCTGCTTGTACTGCGAGGCGCCAAGCGGCGGCAACTTCTCACGCGACTGGAGTAGGAGAGGGACCTCAACAACAACTGACGGCGGACGAGAAGATGTACTAGCGAGTTGATTTTCTGCCCCTTCGCGCCCCCGCCCCACCCCTCTCACATCCCATGGCCTCTCTATTATTCACCGTTGGTTGGCAAGCAGGACGGTCCCGTCTCCCGATACAGTGTAGAAGACGAAGTAGGCTAATTCACTGATGAGACGCTAGTACTGTCACGGCTCCACCCTGTTGGAACACTTTACCTTTCCATTCTTACCATAATTTTCAGTAAAACAAAGTGGAACCAAATTTCTTCTTGTCTCGTAATGTCAGGAATGCAAAATGTGTCTTCTTAATATTTATTGTACCTGATTGACAAGAT